AGGAGGGGGGAGCGGCCCGGCGGGCACCGCGGGGGGCGGAAGGAGATGGGGGGGGGGCGCGGCCCCAAGGGGCTCCGCCGGGAGGAACGAGGGCCCCGACCCGGTACCCGCACGGGGGGCCCCGAAGCTCGGCCCCCCCCGCCGTACCGCCGCGCCGCCCGGCGCTCCCCCCGCACTCACCCGCTCTCTCTCGCCCCGGCGGCCCTAGGTCTCCTCCATGGGGCCGGGTGGGCCGCGGGCAGCTAAGGCCCGCCCGCCGGGCCCGCCATGCCGCCTGGGCCGCTCGCGCAGGCCGCGCCGGTGTCCGCCTAGCGGGGCGGGGCGGGGCGGGCGGCGCGGGGCACGGCCGCTCGGCTCCGCTCGGCTCCGCTCGGCCGCGCTCGGCTCCGCGGGGACGCGGCAGCCCGGAGCCGGCGCCAGGCAAAAGGCGGAGCGCGGAGTCCGGAGCGGAGCGGGGAGCGGCGGCGGAGGGGAAAACGCGGGGCCGGAGCGCGGGAGCGGCTGCGGACTACGAGGGGGGGACTGGAATCGGACGTCGGGCAGAAGCTCCTCGCGCTGAGCGCGGCGGGCAGCCGGCCGGGGCGCCGCGCGGGGCCCGCGCACGGCCGCGGGGAGCGGCTGGGGGCGACGATGGGGAGATCCGTCTTCTCCGCAGGCCGGGAGGGCGCGTGACCGGGGGCCGCTCTTTGGCCGCACGCAGCAGAGATGCAGGCTGGGAACATCGCTCTTTTAATGCCGCCCGAGGACAGACGCAGCACCGCGCGACGAGGCCGTGTCCGCGCCGCACCGCCTGCTGCCCGCCTCGCGCCCGCCGGGCCCGGTCACGCCGCAGCTTTCTGCTTCATTAACCCCTTCTTCGCTCCCTGATGGATCTTTGAATCCAGCTTCCCTGTAAAGAGAGGGAAAAAAAAAAAAAAACAAGCAACCCTCATCACTCTTTATTTTTAAATGCTATTTGCAATGCAAATCAGCTGGAGGCAGCGAGGTCTCCTCGTTAGTGTGTTGCTGTCACATTCAATTATCGTGCTTGAGGAGCCAGGCGTTCCCAGCCGCCATGGCTTCCCTGTGCGGGCACCACACCGAGCCGGGGGCTGCGGGGGGGCTCCCGTGCAGAGGAGAGCAAATCGCCATCCAGCACCGCTGCTGGGGAGCGATCGCTGCCCGCCCCGGGGTGCGCGGCCACACGTGGGCCAGCACAGAGCTCAGACATTGCACGTGGGGGGCAATTCCTGCAGGGAAAGCGAAAAAGCGGGTGTTGTGAGCGAGCCAGGAGGGCAACGTGCTACTTCACCCTAATCCTGCCTCCATGCCCAAGCCCGGCTGCAGTGTGGGCAGGGGCGTTCCCAGGGATGCGATGCACCGGGCTCTGTGCTGCTCCCACCGTCAACTTGCACCAAACTGAGCAAATTCCTCTTTTCGGCTCAAAGATGACTCCGACAGTGCTTTTTCCGAAAGAAGCAGACTACAAAACCGCTTGTTCCATCACAACAACTTCCCTGAAACTGTCCCCCTCCAGCTTTTGGGTTAGCCTTACTCTCGGCTGGGTACAGAAACCAAAAAACGTGCAAAAAAAAAGCACGCGAGCAAGAGCTCACGTATGGGGTTGAAATTGGGAACAGAGACAAGACACTGGCAGATGTCTCAGAGCAACTCCCAGGACATGGGGCATCGGCACAGCTCCTCTGTGCTGCTGCCACAAATGTACAGCAGCAGGCTGGGCACCCTGTGGGCCGAGCCAGACCGGCCGGAAGCGACGTGCCAGCCCTCCGAGTCACCAAACCGTGGGGATTTGGCAGGAAAAAAGCATTGATTTCACACGCGCTCCGTGCTCTGGTCTCCCACTGCCAAAGCTGTCACATCCTGGGCTGTTAGCTTTATCCGTAGCGTGACTGGCTGCTCCTCCCAGGCCCCAGAAGTGATCAGTGGGCTCCTCTGCTCTATCAGCTGGCAAAGATAAAATGTCACATGGGTAACCTTTAAGAAAAGGCTAAAAATAAGGCAACGGCCCCAGGGTCCCCTTCTCTTTACGCTCAATGATTTAAGGACTCTCATCTCACTGGCAGCACCGCGATGCGTCCCCTCTCCCCCCTTCTCATCTCCCCACACCTCCGTGCTGCTCAATGGCGGCTTTGGGAAGCTGTGCCCAGATGCAAGGAGATCTCTCACAAGAGCTACAGCTGAGCTTTGTCCTCGCGCACTGACACTAAGCAGGGACGTGTTTGGGGAAAGCCATGGTCACAAATGTGACACAAACACTATGCCCATCCCTTCCATGCAAACAATAACCCTGGCAGCAAATTGAGCTCTGTTTCTTTTTTTCCTTCCCCGGGCTGCTAGAAACTACTCATTTGCAATAGAGAATCATTCAGATGTCATTGTGGTGAGGTCCATGCTGTTATCTGGCAAGAAAAGCTGCTCTGGCTTGGCTTCCCAACAAGACAAACTGGCATTTTGTCATGGTCGACCCAGGCTTCAAGACGAGCTCAGGTGGGGATGTGAGCCACACTTCAGACTGCATCAGATGCAGAGCCAGCTCCTCCTAAAATAGTGTGCCACCATGACAAGAGGGTGATGGCTTCCCTGCTCCTTCCCCATCCATCACAAGCCTCATACGAGCGACCCAGCATGCCGGCACACACCCTGGAGGGGACACTCAGCTCCATGATCCCTGCCATTGCAGCTCCTGTGCTCTCATGGCAGAGCTGGTGGGGAGGAGGGCAGGGAAGACAAGGCCAGCAGCGGGAGTAAGCAGCCGCCAGCGCAGCCAGCTTCCTTCCACACTGTTAGACTGATCCTGCTCCAAGCAGGAAACTGTCACAACACAAAGGAGACTATGTGACAGAGGAGGGGGCAGGCGGTGCCCTGACCGAGGCTCAGTGGAGGCAGATGTGACAGGGACAGGACATGGTGGCACCAGGGAGGCTGAACAAGAGCAGAGAGAGAGGCTAAAAAAAAATGTACAAAAAGGAGGACATGGCCCTGAGTGCTCACCAGCACGCTGGAAAAGACCTCTCCCTGGTGGAAGGACAGTGCCACCAGCAAGATCCAAGACCTCTATGAGCTCTGCAGATCAGCAAGCACTATTTGCTGCCATTGGCTGAACACTCCTCCAGGATGCCGCTATAAAAGCTCGATGACAAACCACATCACTTTACCCCTCTACCTGTTCAGCACGCTATGAGTATTTGCCAAATGCCCGGGGAGTGAGCACAGCCATGGGAGAATTGAGCGGAGAAGGAGGGAGAAAACCCTCAAAAACAACACAAAAACCCACGCTGGGCTTCAAAAGGCCTTATAAACCGGTCCTGAGAAACCCTGCCGCTCCTGTGCCGCTAGATAACTACTCCCAGAGAAGCATGCTGCAAACCAGAAAGGAAAGCCAGCCATCAGCTCTGCTAAACAAACAGCCAAGACTATTTCTGCTTATGCTGCTTTTAGCCTGTCAAATTAATTTTTCACATCCCCTGAAAGCATGTTCGGTGCCTTCCCCAGGCTGTGTGGTGAGGAGGTTGCTAATAAGGACAGAGCTGACTGCAGACTCCCCAGCTGCTGCATCCATCCTCCATTCTTTTTACAGCAGTGGGCAGGAATAACTGGCAGCCTGCGGAGGGCTGGTGGCTCATAAAAGGGATGAACAACGCTGGCAAGCGGAGTGCAGACAGATGCTGCAGCGCTTCACCGCCAGCTCTGCCAGGACATCCCATCCCCACTGGCCCGCAGTCACACGTCCATCTGGACCTACAGCCCTGGCTGCTTCAGGCCACTCTTGCCGAAAGGAAAGCAAGCACTCAGCATCCTGAGTGCCATCGCAACCTCCTCATCTTGTGAGGACAAACTTTGAGAGTGGGACTGAGTGCACCCTCATCAGTTTGCTGATGGCACTGAGCTGAATGCTGCGGTGGATACGACAGAAGGAAGGGATGCCATCCAGAGGGACCTGGGCGGGCTCACAGAGTGGGACC